CACACTTGCGCACAGAAAAACTGCCCAAACTCTTCCTCCAAGCCAATGTGGCACAAAGGAGACAAAGTGTCTTTCCAGTCCCGGTCGGACTCTCTAATAGTGCATTACATTTCTGCAACATCAAATTTTCAAAACAAAACTCCCCAGTAAGTAATGGAAAGTGGTAACAATAAAAAAAATGGTAATTCTGTGTTGAGATAAAGGCTAATAATGGCATTGGTAGTGAGCACAGCAATTGTTGTTGAGGTATTGTTTCTTGTGGATGTGGCTATTTCTTTTTGGGCTTCCTTAGGATTGCCCAACAGGAAAACCCCTTACTTAATTACTATGACATACCCTGTTAGAAACAATTGATGTTATGAAACATTTATCCAACTATGACTTTTACATTTATCCAATAAAATGACTTGTTTTCTCAAGAAACCGGTAACAATGATTAAATTGCTCAACTTTAATCAATTTTATTGCTGCTTCTAAACAGTTTTCATTCCCAAAATTTATCTCCAAAGAAATTGTCACCCGTTTAACATATTGGCATTCTCTGGTACAATTAACCATTCCCAATCGGTTGCTTCAGATGAAGGGCAACTCGGAATATTTTTTCGTAAAGCACGACACTTTACGACAAAGAACAAAATGAATGAATAAATAACTAGAAAAGAGAGTCAAGTAATACATTTTGAAGTGATTGAATGACTTTTTCCATGTAAACAAGCTGGCAATCGTAAGCCTCGAAGGGGAAGTCCACTTCAATTCCCCTTATTTTGTACGTCGGCATCTCTAAGGTGAAGTAAAAGTGCAGTATTTGCTCAAACAATCAGGTACCTGCTCCCCTTCTCAAACCTAAACATGTCCAGTTCATGTGTGACTTTACCGCCAATTTCGAGGGTCAAGGGTTTTTGCCTTGTTAAATTTATTAAACGGACGATCTCCCAAAATAATGCAGTTTTGGGCGTACCAATCTTTCTCAAACCTAGACATTCTTGTCCTGCTCCTTATTAGTTTTGGTCGTGCCACTTTTCTATACATTTTTTGTAAAAATAATTAAAATAGCCCAAACTTTGAAGGGAGCTAAGATAAACACCTCAAACTTTCATATGTAATTTAAATACTTCAAACTTTATATAAGAAGTTATCTTAACACCATAGTCATGTATCATTTGTTTAAAAAATGTAAGTTTATGATGTTAATTGCATAATTTAAATTAGCAAATTCAAAACGTTGCAATTATGAAGAATGAGGGGGAGTAATATTTATTTTACAATAGAAGTTTAGAGTGTTAATTGTATCTTCATGAATGCTAAAATATTTTAAATTATGAAATTAATATAAAAAATTAACATTTTTGAAAAAAAATACTTCCTCCGTTCTTAAATAAATGCAACGATCAACATTTCACACTTGCCGAGACACAACTTTGACCATTAATATATATAAATTTATATTAGTAAAAAATTAAATAAATTAGATATTGAAATTTTACAATGAGACAAATTTAACAATATTTTTTTCATAAAAATATATCCATACATTAATAAATAAAATGTAGTCAAAGTAGACCATGTGAATAGTGTAAACTTTCATATGTTGCATTTACTTAAGAACGGAGGTAGTAATATATGACTATGGTGCTAATATAACTTTTTATATAAAGTTTGGGGTATTTAAATAACACATGGAAGTTTGGGGTGCTTACCTCACACCCCTTCAAAGTTTGGGCTATTTTAATTATTTTTCCCTACATTTTTTAACAAAAGTTTTGGGATACTTTTCACAAAAAAGTATATGGTTCATACTCCTTATTATTGTTTGGTGAAATTTATTAAATTTTGGTCTAAAGTAGCTTTATTGAATGATTCTGCTGATTTGTGAAAAAATTATATTTAAAATATACGGAGTAATTTGTTAATAAAACAAAAAAAAGTAATATGAAAAAATAGCTAAAATGGTCACCTACAATAACTTCAGCCCATACAGCCAGAAAAGTAAGTACAACCTTATTTTTTTCTTATAATTATACAAACCAGCACGCAAAATCAAAAGTTATGTGTTTGGTTAAAAAGTTGGCTGATAAGTTTGATAAGCTGAAAAACAGAGTCACCAAATGGGCTCTAGTTTTCAATTGAACTTCTTCTTTTGTGTTATTGTTGTTTTGAAAAACATCTTCTCCGTTTTAATTTAAACATACTTCTTTTATGTGTCATCGTATGATTAGACAAATAAATTATTATTTACCTAACATTTTAAAATATGGCAAAACCTTGATGATATTTATGAATAGAAGCTTTTAAATTTTTTTTATGTTAAACATTTTTTTATTATTATGAGACAATTTTAAAAAGAGATGTGATTTTGTATCATTATGAAATAGCACCGCGCCATTTAGGATGTTTTTACTTGGACTGTAATTTGCTGGTCTGGTCTGATCTGGTCTGGTCTGGTCTGAACTTGTCTGGTCTGGTAAGGTCTGGTTTCTTTGTATTTTTATAACTATCCAAGTCTGGTCTGGTCTGGTCTGAACTAGTCTGGTCTGGTCTGGACTAGTCTGGTCTGGTCTGGTCTGAGACAAATTACAGTCCAAGTAAAAACATCCTTAGAAATATGACTGTACTAACAAACTTTAATTCTGAAATCGACCCATACGCCATTTAAATAGTTACGGTATGGTGACGGGTTTAGCGTATCATCGAACCGTGTCAAACCATGCAACCTTATAATATACTCCATTCAGAATAAATAGATTAGACTTATTCTTTGACTTATTCCAAAAGCGCGTGACTGGGTCATTTCAAACTCCATCAATATCATGTGATTTTGTTAATTGGACTGATTTTACACAGATCAAAGTATCAAACTAGTGCAAATTAAATTTAAACATATCGGACATAAATAGATTAGACCATATCATACAAGACTATATTTAGAAATTGGTATATACATGTGTGTGTGTGTGGTTGAGATCGGATACAAAACATGCTTCCGGTGCAAAATACAAATTCATGTCATCCGTCCAAAATTACAAAATCAATGGCAACAATTCATTGGGCCTCTAAAATAGGGAAGTAATCCCTGTTTTTTCTCTAACTCCATACGGTTAAGCTATTTTGGAGAAATTTTAGCTTCTTCCAAATTAATACACAGTTGATCTCATTGAAATGGATGGTTATGATTAATTTGCACTTTGTAAATTAAGATGACTATGTATGTGATATATATATACTAGTTTCGTACACGCGCGATGCGCGATTGAGAAAATGCTCAATGCATTTTATTTATTGGAAACTAAGTATATTGTATATTTTTTGATATGATTTTGTTAGTAGTTGGCGTGATAACATTTATAAGCCGTTTCCAAAAAACAAACAAACAAAACAAGAAGACGCCACAGAAATACAGAATCCAACGCTGTAAATGACGGACAATGGTTGGTCAGTTGGTCTTTGTAGCATAATCCCCACGCTAAAAAAACCAAATTGCTAATAAGACATCACCGCACAAACAACATTTCACATTTTATAATCCTAAACATTATAAAGATTTCATTTGAGACATGTTTTCAAATACAAAAGTCAGCTTGCATGATAAACACCACTGATCGCTTCCCATGCTCCGAGAGTCACAATATACATATGAATATATGATAACCCTAAAATGTCTCCAATTCTGAAGGGTTGAAAAAAAGGCAAAATTTGAGCATATATACAAGTCAATAGAAAAGGTCGGTGCTACTCAGAGAATACACATTTTAGAGGGAATAGTCTTGCATACCATTGCTGATTCTTTGTGAACTCTGTGAGGACAGGATATATGTTCTCAAAAGCAGTGTATGTTTCTCTGTGCACCAAACAAAATAGAGTAATGGTGGGCCATGTTCTCATCTCACATTAAAGTAACTAAAAGCATCCTAGTGGGGGGACGCCTCACATTTTCTCCTGTCAGGACAATTTTTCTAGACACAAAAATGAGAAGCACAATCTTCGTTGCTTCATCCCGTAAGTTAAACCTGGAAAATGTTTCGGTTTATACTACATGCACACAAAAGACGTTTGATCACACAACTGAAACAAATAAGCATTCATTTGGTTGAACTACAATATTTTGATACTTACACTTGAAAAGGCATGCACCATGGGAATATGCCAATTCCTCAAGTCTTATGGGAATTTTCACATCACATGAGCCAACAATATTTTGAATCTTATAAAGGGAAATAGCAACAAACAACAACAACAACAATAATGTTATAATTAAAGACGAGTGGCCACATATATACATTGAAAGAAAGAGTTAATGTCTTATTTACTCCTTGACTTCACGTACATTACTACTCAATTTCGTCAGTGCCAGGATGACACTCAAGAACATTTTGAGGATGCCCTTACACAAATAGAGGAACAAATCCCATAGGCCCAAAATAAACTGCAGGGTACCCTCCCCCCTTTAGATCTGTTTGGGCAAGTCAATGACACTATGGAGGCTTATAAGCATGGGCACACCCCCATCAATACTGCCCCTCTCCCAGTCCCATCTCACCCCCTGATACCGCCCCCTCTTCCAATCCCATCCCATCCCCCACTACTGCTCCCTTCCTTAGTTCTATGGAGCCCAAATCTGATGACAGTATTGATAATGTTGAGGCGCCAATTGAGTACCCCAACTCACCTGACAAAGATAAGATTAAGTCCCAACCCAATCCCATCCCACCCCCCTCTACTGGACCCTCTCTTACTCATAATGAAACTGTTATGCGTAATCATTTCTCTGTGCAGCAGAATTCCAGTGATGGAGAAGAAGAATCTGACATTAAAATAGAGGCCTTTAGAGAAAATCTAAATGGATCTATTTCTGAAGATGAAATCATAAACAAAAGGAACAAACTCAGCAACCAGACCCAGTCTAATAGGGTAACCCCCTATGAAACAAGGTCCAAAAATTCCTCTCAAACCCAACTCTTATGATTAGTTTTCTTTTCTGGAATATCTTTGGTATGGGAAAAGAGCAATCTTTGAACAACCTAAACCATTTGAAAAGAAAACACAACTTAAATTTTATTGGCGTCATTGAACCTAAAATACAACAAAAAATTTTAAACAAAAAAGAAGAAGATGCTTCACTTTCCTTATGCTTTTGCTCATTTCCAAAACAGATTCTGGATTTTCTGGAATAATGATAACAATGTTTGTGTTGTTCATGAAGGCACCCAGTATATGTCAATGTTTATTACTAATAATGGGGATTCAGCCCCTACTTGGTTAGTATTGTTCATGGCAGTAATGACATGATTCAAAGAAGGCTCCTCTGGACAGAACTAACTCAGCTTAGAGCAACCCACACCTCTGCACCTTGGATAATTGCAGGTGATTTCAATACGATCACTCATCTAAATGAATATCAGGGTAACTCTACTCCAACTACCTATGATATTACTGAGTTTAATGACTTTATAAACACCAATGCCTTAATTGATTTCCATGTGGAAGGGGGATCCTATACTTGGTTGGGTAAAAGAAGGAATGGTTTAGTTATGAAAAAACTCGATCGGGTATTGGTCTCAGATGAGCTTATGCAACTTAATAAGAACATCAGATTCCAGATTCTTCAAAAAACTGTTTCTGACCATAATCCCCTCCTCTTTAAGGAGTTTAAAACCACCGCTACACCAAAATCTTTTAAATTTCAACACACGTGGCTCACTCATCATTCTTGTTTACAAGAAATTTCCAATTCTTGGGATACTGAGTGTGAGTGCTATGGGATGTACAGATTTCACACTAAACTTAAAAGGTTGAAGCAATATCTCAAAGCCTGGAACAAAAATGTTTTTGGAAATGTTTTTGATAAAATTACTGAGGTGGAACAAAAAACCTTTTTCATTGAAGATAATTTGGTGCACCAACCTTCGGATGAAAACCTTATTCTTCTTAAGGAGGCCCAGGCCAATCACATTAGGCTAATTAAATTGAAAGAGATCTTCCTGAGGCAAAAGGCAAAAATAAATTGGCTAAAGGTGGGAGATGCTAATACTTCTTTTTTTCATCTTACCCTTAAAGCCAAACATAAAAAATTATCCATCACTAAAATCACTAAAGATGATGGATACATAATAGAAGATGAAAATGAGATCAAGGAGGAAGCAGTGAAATACTTCCAAAACTTGCTGACTGGTACCAATGATTATAACTACATTTCTATCCCTACGTATATTACTAAGGTCATTACTAAGTCTATCTCTAACTAGAATAACGCCTTGCTTATTGCTCCGGTTAACTCCCAGGAAGTTAAAAAGGCAGATTTCTCTCTCAATGATAATAGATGTGCAGGTTCTAATGGCTTTGATGGTAAATTCTACCAAAATTGTTACCATAATATTGAACAGGACCTTTTGCAGGCTATCAATGAATATATGTGTGGGGTCCCCCCCCCCCAATCTATTGGTCGCACTCTGATTTTCCTTATTCCTAAAGAGCAAAATGCAACTCAATTTTCTAAATACAGACCAATTAGTCTAAGTAATTTTATTTGCAAATTTTTTACAAAAATTTTGACAACCAGATTGACCAACATCATTCCTAAGTTGATTTGTGAGAACCAAACAGCTTTTCAAAAAGGTAAGGAAATCAGTGATAGTGTTTTAATGCTCAAAGAGATGATTAATTGCATTGATCATAAAAATAGAGGTCACATCATTTTACTTAAATTTGACATGCTAAAAGCCTTTGATAGAATGACTTGGGGTTTCATTTATGATATTTTGCGTGCTTTTGGCTTTCACCCCCACTTCATAAACCTCATTCACAACAACCTTGAGAGCACTTGGTTTTTTGTTTTAATTAATGGGCATCCTAGCGGTTTTTTCAAGCCTAACATGGGATTAAAACAGGGTGACCCCCTCTCCCCTATACTTTTTATTCTCGTTTCAGAAGTTCCCTCTCCCCTATACGTTTCAGAAGGTAAATGCATTCCTTTTCATACTTATCCTGAGCAACCTATTGTTTCTCATCTCAGCTACACGGATGATTTGGTTATCTTTTCTAATGCGGGTAAAAGATCTCTCACATCTTTGAATGCTTGCATCCATGATTACGAAAAGCTCTATAGTCAGAAAATTAATACTACTAAAAGTTTTTACATCTGTGGTAAACATGCTCCTAAAGCCACCATTAAGAATGCTGGAAAAAAAAAATTGGTATCCAGAAAGGTTCTTTCCATTTTACTTATCTTGGTGCTAATATTTTCCAAGGAAGACCTAAGATTTGCCACTTTGATAACATTGTCTTTAAGGTTGACCAAAAGTTGGCTGGTTGGAAAAATAAATTTTAACTCCTGGTGGTCGTATTACCCTCATTAAATCTGTGCTCACCACTCTCCCCCTGTATCATATGGCCAGTGCTATTATCCCGAAAACTGTTCTTCAAACTATTGAACAAAAGTGCTCCAGATTTTTGTGGTACAATGCTGATTTTAATAAACGTCATATCTGGAGAAAGTGGAATATGATTACTTATCCTGTTAACGAAAATGGTTTGGGCTTCAGGAATATTTTCTTTATTAAAAAAATGCTTCTATCTTAAGTGTTTATGGAAAGCCGCCAATAACACTGGTTTATGGGGGCTTTGGTTTTCTAAGCTTAAAACCCCCAGTAAATCTTATATGTGGAAAGGTTTGTCTAAGGTCAAGCATGATTTTGATAGTCTTACTACTCTTGTGATTTGTAATGGTCAGTCTTCTTTTTGGAATTCTAACTGGTCTGAATTTGGCAGGCTAAAGGACCACTCCAACAATGAGGGGATTTTGCACCATCAAATTACTGTCAAAGAGGCCTATCACCACCCCTCTTTTTTTCAAGAGATACAGACTATGATGCCTGAACACATTCTTAATAGCATCAAGAATACTATTCATCACTTCTCTTCTACCAATGACATTATGGTTTGGACCCTTACTCCTGCAGGATCCTACTCCTTTAAGAGTGCCTATGAGGAAATCAGACCTAACAGAAGTATTCACAATAGCATTCAGAACATCTGGAATAAAAACATTCCTACTAAAATCTCTTTCTTCATGTGGAAGGTGATAAACAACTTGCAACCTTTTCAGGAAAAGTTACACCTATTTGGCAGTCATGGCCCCTTTAAACGTCCCTTTTGCAATGACTTTGATACAAGAGACCAGTGTTATACCTCTTGTGATTTAAGCAAGAAACTTTGGACCCATTACAGTAACCTTCTTAATATCGTGAATCATAATAGTGAGTCTCTAAATTCTGTTTTAAATCACGGGTTCACTGCCAAAGATGATTTTGAAAATCTTAATAGCCAGGTTGCTATCTACATTTGTTGGATTATTTGGAAAAGAGGAAACATGTACATTCATGATGATACTGATATTTTAATTTCTGAGGCTATTGATATTATCAATAAGGAGATTCGGGATGTTAGTTGGGCCAAACCTTTTGTCACCAAAGCCACTGAGCCCCCGTTTTAGACATCCAGATTATTAAACCCAAGTTGAAAGTTCAAAAACATACCAACTGAGTTCTTAGTTGGGCTAGACCTCATGCCAACTTCATCAGAATTAACATTGCCATCAGAACTACAAGGGATGAGAATATTATTTCTGGAACGATCATTCGGGATAGCCAAGGGCACTTGATACATTACCAGTTCAACACTCATAATCAGTCTGACTACACTTCCATATTTTGTGATATTGTTATTAGCCTGAAAATTCTGTTTCATGATAACAGGTACACTAACATCATTATTGAGAGTGACAGATTACAGGTACTCAAGACTATTCAAGGAACCGAAAGCCCAAGGTGGACAGCGATAGCAAACCTTTAAGCCTTTACAGAAATCTATCATTACGTTCATTTTGACTATTCTTACATTAAGAAATCTTGTAATAGGGCGACTTATTTTGTTGCGGCTAACGCAAATTTAATTACTAATAGCCCAAACATTTATACGAAATTTCAGGGTATTCTCAAATTTGATGCAATTAGCTACCCTTATGTTGTGTAATGTCGGTAGGTTTTGGCAAAATGTCCCCCTACCATGTACTTTTTTTCCCATTAAATAAACAGGTAAGGTGTTCCCCGACAAAAAAAATGGATTAATTAGTGGAGGGCCAACCAAGTGGCTTAACTTTATAAATTTGTTGATATTTAATAAATGCATTCAATTTCGTTACGTATTTAATGGTTATAAAAAGTTAGACCTCTAATTACGTAGGAAGAGTAACAAGTTACTTTGGTTTTAGTGAGTTGCCATTTACAAAAATCATTTGTAAAGGACAAATAAACACCTTAAATTTGTGAGTTAAGACAATTTATTAACAGGTATAAATATGCAATTTTTGGTTACTTTCTTATTGTTGTTGAAGATAGTAACGTGTCAGCCTATTTGTTCTTTGTATTATTCTCCAAGACTACAATACTCCTATGATTTGAATGGAGTGAGTTTTTCATATAATAGATGTGATGTACATTACCACTTATAATGAATGTGTGTTAACTTTAATACGTGGTGTAAAAATAAGTATGTTAAATGTCCCACACCGGAAACATTTGGATGAACAAAGTGCTATATTAACACATGAGCTACTCCTCCTATCAGGTTGACCTTTTAGGATGGAACCTCGTGTCTTGACATGGTATCAGAGCCAAATTGATCCATGGTGTGGCGCCCCTTATGAAAAATGATGACACGATTATAAAAACGGCCGGATGAAAAAAACGGACCGATGAAAAAAAATGATTGATTGCACGATCCAGACGAAGTGTCTGGTCGTGAGGAGGGGTGTTAAATATCCCACACCGGAAACATTTGGATGAACAAAGTGCTATATTAACAAATGAGCTACTCCTCCTATCAGGTTGACCTTTTAGAATGGAACCCCGGGTCTTAACATGGTATCAGAGCCAAACAGTCACCCTTGAGTGTCCTTGTAATTTGTAAAATGTCCAAGCTATCAGGTCCTTTGAAAAGGGTGGATATGAGTATTCCAAGAAAATTGAATATTGCAACATAACCACATAAAAACTTGTGAAGATGACTGGTATCATATTATTGGCTCTTCTAGGCATATTCATTGTAAACTGAAGCCACTGATGGAACAATAACAAAAATCAGTGTGTACAAATACGCTATTGTTGTCACTGGAAGTCCAATAGCAATAGATCCTTCTGGCAGAGATCACACTTCATTCACCCTAATACATACTCCATATAAGCAAAAGCGCAAGTGTTTCCCAGTGATGTATGGAAAAACGTCTCCTCATGATTACCTTCAACAAAAGTGCTATGACCAAAACCTTTAGGTTACTCGGCATCTTCACTGTTGCAGGGTTAAAGAATACAAAAACATTCAATAGGGATGGAGGAAGCACAAGTAGATAGTTTGATTTTCTTTTAGTTGTTTTGAATTATCGTAAATTTGTCATCAACACGTGAAATGCTTGATTGATACTCATGTTACTTATTTCACATTTTCATCAAATAAAATAATTGAATTTTACTTTCTTTAATGGTAGGTTTCCATTTCTTGGATATGTTTTGGTTGTATTGTGTTCTTTCAAATGTCAGATTACTTTGAAAAGCTACTATGCAGTCGCAAGATGAAGATTGTGTTATGCTCATTATTGAAGTTATTTTTGTTTGTGCAATTGAATATGCATAATGGATTTTTCTGGGATGTACTTAACAAAAGGTGATTCGTTGCGCACTCAATGCAAATCGTCACATGGAAGAAACTGCCCTAATGATTACAACACCTCACTTGTCGATTCCTTCAACACCGCAAAGTACTTCAGTGACATCTTCCCACATCAAGAAGATCTTGCTCTTCAAAGCAACTTGTATGAAAAAAATTGATATTATATATAGCTTCAGTTACAATGATAGCTCAGTGAAACATGTGGTCGGGCTTTCTTCTAAGAGAATTAAGTGCTCATCTCCTTCATGAAGGAGGTACCATCAACAAAAACACCATGCCCATAATAATTTTCCATCAAGACAACCATTTCTAAATAGCATTGTGCATCAAAGGAATCAGGGTGTTTACAGAAAAGTATTTTGCTTTGCTTTAAAAAACATGTGTGTGCTGAAAATAATTACATGTTTTTTGTGTGATTACTTAAGAAAGGTTTTGTGTGAATTTTTTATTTGAGATAAACATGTGTGAAATCAATTGATTGTAAAAGTAAGTTTCCAAATTAGGTATATTATTTTTGTGTGTGCTGAAAATTAATAGCATGAGTAATCTAAACAAATGCACATGTAAAAAACGATGAAAATTTTAGGATTGTAAATCAATATATGAATTTTTTCTTATTAAGTGTGTTTTAAATTGAAGAAGTCACTGTATGTCGACAACTAAATCCTAAATTCTAAATGTGGTTAGTGCATTTTGTCGAATAGTTAATAGACATTCATCAAATGTTTGACTATATAAACTATTGTTTACGAAAGGTGTAAACGAGGTGGACTCAGGAAGGAGCCGAGATGATATGTAAGCTTGTAGACATAGAGCTTGCAACCATGACAAACGAATTAGCAATTTCGGAAAACCATTCTATCGCAAGTCTGGGAAATCAAATTAGTAATTTCGGAAAACGAATTACCTTGTACACATTGGAGAAATTAAAGACATTGTTCTAAAAATCGGCCTAGGCGGACCGATTAATCGGCCTAGGCGGCCTAGGCGGCCCTAACCGTAGAGGCCGAATCGGCCTAGTCGGCCAAAAAATCGGCCTAGTCGGCCAAAAAATCGGCCTAGTCGGCCGCCTAGGCGCTAGGCGCCCCTCAACCGCCCGACTAGCGCCTAGCGAGTTTTAGAACAATGATTAAAGAGATTTGAAAATGTACCCTTTGGAAGATTGAAAGGATGGAAAGGTGTGCCGCCATGTCGTGCCCAAAACTGAACGCGTAAGTTTGAGGGAATGAGCAGTAAATGCAGACGAAATTAACGGAAAAAGGACCATGTTAACATCAATTGGCTCTTATTATCTAAGCAAAGATACACACACACACACACCAAACATTTATGTGACTGTATTACAACATGTCATATCATACAAAAATTGATGAAGGCAAACCATATCAGATTTAAAAACAAAATACATATGCAATATAAGTGTCTTAAGAAAGATCACAAAAAAATATTTAATTTTATGTATTTTATAAAAAAAGTAGTATAAAAATGAAAAAGTTGCGAGTATAGCATTCTATGAATAAGAATAGTTTAATTTGCTACAAGGGACCAAACTAAATGGATGAAGGATCAGTTTTGAAATTAATTAAGTTGCTAGTGTGGCGTGTGAAATGTGAAGCTCTTACTCTTACCCAAATCAACCTTATTTTTCTTATTATTACACAATTCAGCGTGTAATATCAAAATTTACGTGTTTGGTGAATAAGCCCGATAATAAACTGAGAAAAGAGTCAATCAAACACACTCTTAATAAATAAAATACTTCGTCAAAGGGTAAACTAGTCTACTTGGAGTTACGTAAAGTAATAGTAGGGGTGCGCAAAGCAACTCTATTAAATTCATTAGGATGTTTTTATTTAGGGATTAGAGCTGGATCACTCTATCATCTAGCAAAAGCCAAAGTATTATTCAAAAAAGCTAATAAAGCGCAATATACTATCACGGTCTTTGTTACTTTTGATTCCCACTTTTGTTAATCTTAGCCTTTGTTTTGACAAAATAGTATTTACTTAGATTTATTTCAGTTTCAAGTCATATGAGACTTCAACAGTTGTAAAAAACATCAAGACCACACATCTACCAGACCAGTTCAGGCCAGATCATACCATATCAGTCCAGATCAAGAATTTTCTTTCCTAATAAAAGCGTCCTTAATCATTATGAGTATAGAACTATGATAGTTATATGCTTACAAATAAACACAAATATCTATTACTAAAATTACCACTATAATCACTACATTTAAGAGGTTGCATTTGTTTTAAAAATCTCTTTTTAGTCATATGTGTGTGTGTTTATGTTTATTTCTTAAAACATAGATAAAATACTAAATAGGATTGGATATATATATATTTTCGTAAAATATGATTTATTTAATCCTATCAAAAAGGGTGGAAAATAAAAACTACACTTAGATATGAGTGTAAAAACTATTGATATCATATTCAATATTGAATGACAAATATTATAATGATGTTTCCATACTGGTGGTGTAGCATATCTACCGGTTAAAAAAAAAACTAGGTTTCAATACTTCAAAGTAACACATTTGAAAATCAACAAACAATTCAATAAAGAAATTTCTTCAAGCTATCAATCATCTCACAAGTTTGATAGGGTTACATGTTTTAAAACAAAACAATCATCTGATCTCTTTGTTATTACATCATATAAATATTAATTAATATAGACTAGGTTTCAAATACAACTTAGAATTATTCGTTCTTGACTTATTATATTTTATTGTTTAAATATTTAAATGTCATGGAAGCATATACAATGTACAATATACATGAATATTGTCACAAATCCTAATGCAAAGGTATACGAAAATAGAAGGTTTGATTTATCATTTTTTACTATGTTAATATTCAACATCTTTGCTTGTATACTTTAATATCCATATTATAATTGAATAGAAAATAAAGTTAACGAAGTTTCTACTTGAATTAATAATTAGTATTGTGACATTTAATCGTATGCTCAACTTTAATTATTGTCTGGTGGATGGAGACTTTTTGACTTCTTTATACATGAAAAGGAAAATTCTTCGTTTATAAATCGATAAATATGCAATTACTATTACGATGAACATTAGGTAAATTAGTTTTCCCTTTTTATTCTACAAAATCAATAATATATCTATGTAGGATCAAATCCAAATGGAAGTTAAGTGATGAATTGCCCTATCAACTCCAACTCAATCACTCTGCGTTGATCTTTTATATGGCAAAATTTTGTATATATAAACCAATAGGCTTATTCAAAACTGAATATTTTCTAGGTGGACTAGCGAAATTAAAAATATACTAATTAATCTTAAGTTCCTAACTAATGATTGAGTCACTATTTATCTTTCCCTGTCCTTGCATCTTTTTATATATTTGATTG